CTGCTGACTTCCTTAGAGAAAGCCAGAGGAAGCTCTAAGCATTATCAAACACAGGGAGGGACGAGGAAGCACCATTACCCAGGGAGCAGACATACGAGCTTGCAGGGAAGGACTTCCAGCACAAACAAGCTATTTAGTGCTGGGCTGCAGCCAGCTGCCCCGAGACAGCTCATTCTGCAGATGGGTGAAACCAGAGCTCTGCTGGAGGCTGGAAATTCGGACCCAGGCTGCAGGTCACCCAGCCCTCCTGTGAGACCTATCAAGGCTTTCAACCACTGGCCTGTATTAGGAGCACAAGTGGGTATGTGTTTTCTAATGGAGGGAACAGCGTGTTTCCATAGCTGATCGGAAAGCCAGAGATCTTTATGACAGAAACAGGGTGGTCAAAGTCTGCTGTTTGCGAACAGCCAACTCTTTACATGTGAACAAATACTCACCTGGCCACAGAACCAGTAAGATGCATGCTTTGTGCAGCAGGCATTGCAGATTAAATTCAGTATCACTGAAGATATCTGTGCTGCATCAGAAAGGGAGGAGACATGCAGAGAGGATCCTGCCCAAATGGCATTTCTCCGTGTTGCTCTCTAACAGCAGTACTAGCACAGTCATGTTCTCTCTTCCTCCAGAAGGTGCTCAATTTTCAGTGTTTTGCCTACTAGATCTGTAAACCACTTTGAGTGCACTGCCACAGTAAATCCACTACCAGCAGGCATCTTAAAACAACAGGGTGGGGTGGGAAGTGATTAATGTTAAAGCTCTATCCCAGTTTTATGCAAGGGCCCTTGATAATCTGCAGTAAAACATAAATTTTATGAAAGCCAAACCACTACTAAAGATACATTTCTAACTGTTGCAGTTTGTATCTTTCCTAAAGAGATTCAAAGTTCTCCCAATAGCAAGGTCATTTAATTTAAAAAAAAAAAAAAAAAAGACAAAAACTTAGAATTTAGATATGCTACATGTTATTTGCTGTTAGATTCCAAGGCTTGTAAGAAACTATTATCAGAATAGAGAAAAAGAATAAAGAAAATAACCTCATTTTTGCATGCTTTAGCACATCTCATTTTCCAACGACTAGACCTTATCCTGTTTTGTACAGCAAACAACTACAAAGAGTCAAAATCCCATAGTGATGGCTTAGCTCTGGTTAAGTGCATCACTTCACCTCCTCTGATCCATGAGATGTTCACACCACAATGGACTCTCTATGAGACAAAACAGTCCTTTGGCTCACAGTGCCTACAAAGCCTCCAAATATCATAAGCAAGAAAGGTGGCCCTCATCTTTAATCCAGACATAAAATTAAAAGTAAGTAGAGCACCAAGATAGCTACAGAAAAATAAAACTGATGGGTTTTTTTCTTAACAGAGAACAGAAAGCCTTTTCCAAGAAAGCTTTGAAGGGCTCAAGCTTCCTAGGAAATGTCACTTCAGTGCAATTAAATCTATTTTCAGGAAACATATCTTAGTCCAACGGCTCCCTGAGTAAAGTATTTTAAAGAGTTAACAGTCACAGAAATCCACACACGAAATTTAGACTATTAGAAAATGGCTACTTAATCCTGCTTCAAAAGCAAGGCTGGAAATTGGGTTTAAACTTCTTCCTTGACCAGCTGGAAAGCCTGTTTTATTAGATTTGTAAGTAATGCTTGGAAGATTTACCAAACAGAGAGTGACACAGTGCTGTTTCCACAGTCATATGCAGTGGAATTTAAAGGACTTAGAAAGGCAATTCTCCATTTATTAGGAACTGCACTAACACTTTTGCAAGTGTAATTTACTCCCTGGTCTGCCTCTTGCCATATGCTCTTTTAAGCCTCACGTTCCCATCTCCTCTCTACAAGAAGCCATGTCATAGATATCTTTCTGTGTGGCCTGCACCGAAGTTTAAAGCACAAACAAACAAGGCTCTTCCAACCCAGGTAGGGAAGAACCCCATACTCATACCAAAGACCAAATTACTGCTTTGTCTCTGTGTCTTTCTCAGCATGGCAATGTTAGTCACCAGCTGCAAGCACTCAATGTGGACATCCTCAATTCAGAGGAAATGAGGATGTCTGGAAGAGCTTGACACCCTTATCACTGCTATGTTTGCACTGTGCCTGCCTAATCAAGTCCTCCAATTATTCCTGGATAATTGTGTGTTTACAAGGCTGTGCACAGAACAGAAAGCACAGAAACTTACTAGATTATTTCAGCAAACACAAAAATGGAAGATTCTCAGGCTAACACCCCTGAAATACCAGGTGGACAAGCATGGAACAGACATTTTGTTTCCAAAGGCTGAACTATCAGATTGAAATACACCAAATAGTTTCCAAAACACTTCTCCCAACGGAAGGCTTGTAGTTATCACCACGATATTTTGCAGCCACATATAAGGAGATTTGATCTGCAAATGAAAGCATTTGTGGAAAACCTAAAGCAAAAGATGGGTAGCTCTAAGGTCTACAGTTTACAAACTGACCTAAGGAAGACTCTCTGAAGGATGGGTATGGCTAGTGAGCACCTGCCATCAGCAGTGAGAAACAGCAAACAATTTCCAAGTTGTAGTCTAAAAGCCAAAGAACCTGGCCAGAGATGAAGAAAAGCCCATGATGGTTCACCAGAGAAGCACACTATACAGTGGTTTAACCTCACATAAAGGGAGATTAGAGCCGTGTGACTTACTAAAACCACCTCTGCATTTATTAAAGTGCAGCACTACAGGAAATCATTCCTGTTGTGGGAGCAGTTGTACATCAAACTCCTGCGTGGACTCTCCGGAGTCCAGTAAGAGCTGAGCTCCATGCAACAGTTCCCTCACTGATTGTATAAACACTATTGCCCACTCTTCTCCACAGGCACCTCCTTCTGTAAAACCTGCCAGAGGTTAGCATCTTTAAACACCTTGGCTGACATTTTTCAGCAGGTCCAAGAGCTGTTGGAGGTTGTTCTCACAAGCAAAAGCCTCTTCTTTCAAGTTCCAGATCTGGTTATTCTGAATTACTGGCCTGTTTCCAGGTGTTCTGCTGCACCTGTGCTGTTTTATTTTAAGATGAAAGTGGTTGCCATTTAAAATAGACTATCAGGTGTTAATCAAGGTAGGTCAGGCCACCAGCCAGGGTGAAAGGAGCTTTAATTCTGCTCCCACTGCAGAGATCAGCAATATCCTATTTATAGAAAACATGAAAGTGACTGCAATCTTCTTCTTGCCAAAGAAGCAATAGAGACATTGTTTACACCAAACGGTTGCAATGATAAAAGGACAACAGCCCAAAAAGCCATGCCAGTGTTGCACAACTGATCCTGGTTAATCCCAGCACTCTCCCAGTTCAAAATCACCAGCAGAAGCCACTCCACTTTGAGAAGGACAAGCCCTCTGAATGTTCTGAAGACGAACCTACAGCTGAGTCAGTCCACAGCAGTGCAAGAGCAAGATATCAACACTCAATGGCTGACTGAGGCAATGGCCAGGCTTCTCTGAGAGAACTGTTCCATTTAATTTTAGAACTGTCTTTCTTGTCTCTTTACTGTTGTGCATTTCTGAAAAAAACAAATAGTTTTGTGTATGCAACTGACACAAAGTTGAAGTTTACTAGCTGCTACCTCAAAGAGCTCAGCTCTGGAACATCATCAGTAGGCTTCAGAGTGCATAAGACATCAAAACAAGGAGAGCAGTAGGAGAGGTGCACATGCTCTCACTCTGTTTCTAGGACACGGGGCTTCACAA